GAAGAGATGAGGTCGAACTTACTCCTTTTGTTCGACCTTCTGTCCGTTTCCCGGAGGATGGCAAGGGCAATCCTTAGTTAAAATTCCCTCTTCTCCACAATATGAACAGAACTTCTTAGGTCTGTTTCTGCAAAATGGACGACGATGACCTTTCACCCCACATCTCCAGCAATGAGTCTTGGGGTTATAAGGTTCCTGAACCTCAGCAACCTCTACAGCTGACTTCTTCGCTCCCTGCTCTTCCTTGTTGATTGCATTAAGAGTTTCCGAGATTTCCTCAGCTCGTTGAATCAACGTGCTTACACTATCAATCTCTTCTCTCCTAATGTGCAGACGGAACACCGGTTGCATATTCCAATAAATCATGTCGAGTTCTCTAAACAAATTGTAGGCTCCATGTCTCCTCATTAAAGTCCTAATGCAATTTACAAAACTCCTGATATTTTCACCCTTAGCTTGATGTTTGTTGGCTATCTGCAACTCCAAGTTCCTTAATTCCCCCGGTGATAAATAATACCGCCTTAGAGACAGAGTCAATTGTTCAAGAGAAGTAATTGACCTGATTTCGTTACGGTACCACAAGAGGGCATCCCCTCTTAATAATTCAGGGAATCCTCGCAGTAATTGAAGATCGGTGAAACCATATGCCGCCTGAAGTTCCTCCACACGTTCCAAGAATGCATAAGGATCCTTTCCATCAAAGCAACAATTCCATTTTCTCATGCTCTCTAATACGTAGGTGTCACTGACAATAGGCAAAAGCGTAGAATTTGCCCTTGGAGCAGTAATAGGAGCATGTGTAGTCTGGTTGATTTGTTGGGTAAGTCCAGCTGAGGCACTACCTGAAGGTACTCCTGGTCCTAGTGCTGGTTGGAAATTATCCTCTTGAACCTCCTCTTCAAGTGCTAACAGGTCTCTTGATTTATCTAATTCCTCCTTATAATCCTCAGGATCCTCAGTAAGATTCAACAACTCAGGTTGGGATTTTATGTAAGATACTAAACGTTGACGAAGCTGAGCTACTGTACCAATATGATCGATATGATACTTCTTCAGTTCTTCAACTAACTGAACCTTTGGTAAGTCGTAGATCCATTTAACTCCCATGATGCCTGATAATAACTGTTAATAGGTCTTACTCGTAAGCTGGTATGAATGCTTATGATGCTGAAGGGTTGACTTCCGTTAATATATACTAGTGTCTCCCCTCCACATCACCCAAAGCCAGGTGGGGGTATTAAAAGCTTTGACTTGATTAGTTGAAAAACTAGGAGTGGTGGTAATTCACGAGAAAATTTAAGGTCTTAATCTGAGATCGGAATCTCAAAAAAAAAAAAATTTTTCTTATAGGTTAATAAGAAAATGAGTTTAGAAAACTTTATATTTTCACACAGCAATCTCTGGTAAGTATGCCGCGTTCTCCACATCTTGAGCAAAATTTAATAGCATTGTTTTTACAGGACTGACGACGATGCCCTGAGCGACCGCAGCGCCAACAATCTTGCTTTGAATCATACGGCCTTCCTGAATTCATTACTACGCGACGAGATTCTTCGCTTCTTAATAACGGGTATCTACTCCAGAAAAGGTGTTCTTTATAGCGCCACTGAGTCTCATCGTCTAATTTCAAAAACGCTACTTTTTCCTCACGCAGTTTATTCTCCAAAATCATTTCCGGAAAAACCTCCAAAAATTGCCGATCCGAAATATTTCTCTCCCTTTTCGCTATCATAACTCTCTGCATGAGTTCCCACAAACTCACAGATGGAAAAGAATATCCAATTTTCTCAAAAATCCAAAAAACTCGGTTGTTTGAGAAGGGCATGATGAAATCTTCTTTCTTGATTCACAGGTGATTTATTCGATGAGTGGTACTGATCGATTAGAAAGAAATTTATTGGGACGCGGTCTTATATAATAAACCGCTTTACCCCTACTCTTTACCCCTTCCCTTTTTATTTCTTCTCCCACCATTTCCGATGGCAGCGACACGAGTTCTCCACCAAACCACAGCAAAATTTGTTAAACTAGCAATAATAATAAAAATTATACTTTCTTTCAATTCTTTTTTCTTTCATAATTTTTTTTTTCCTTTTTGAAACTAGTCCCTGTTCGGGCGCCATGTAATGATTGGGTTTTTATTTGCTGGGAATTCGCTCGCCGGATGGAGTCCGGGTTCCCTTAAATATTAATTAAATAAATAATTAACCATAGTTAATGGCGTGAAGCGCCATCTAAGAATTGATTTGCTGTAATTTCGAGGAGAGGTGTAGTCAATAATGAGACAATTAATTAAACCTTCGTAAGATAAATATATTGTAACAAAATAAAGAATAAAAGGTTTAAAACAAAATTAACAAAGTAAAATGAAATAAGAATAAAATAAATGAAAAATAACAAAATAGTAACGTAGCCTAATATAAAGAATATAAAACAAAAGAACTAAAATATAAAATAATAATCGTTGTAAAAGAATAACAATAATAAGAAAATAATAATAACAAATGTCTCGCCTCGTGTCGCTTTACCCCGAAGTGACTTCCCCCTGACTTGCAGGTTTTACACCCAAGTTCTCTCGCCTGAAAATAAAATAAAAGAAACCATTGCTTAGCTAAGCTCAAGATATTGAATTTCCCTACGCGGAACTAATCTAGAATTCGCCCCATTGCCCAACGTGACAAACGCGACTAGTACGTGCACTCTGAGGGAGTGGCCTGACTGGTAACCGAGTGACCAACTCCAATGTCGGTACACTGCCGACATTCTTGCTTGACGCGCAGGGGTTGCGAAAGGAAACTCAACGGACGACCTCTTATCCAGGGTGCTCCCTGAGGGAAGAAATCGTCTCCGTCGCTTAGCCTCAGGTGTAATATGAGCTCCTATATACACCTGGGGGTCAGAGTTTCAGGTTGCAGGTGTCACCCTCTACCACGAGGTCCTCTCGTGAGAGCTCCCGCAGGGAGGTCCAAGTAGTAGAGTGCATTGGTCTCCGCATCTTCTCGTGAGAGCTCCCGCAGGGAAGTCGCAGAGACCAGGTCGAGAGAATGAAGGTGTTCACCTTAGCATGGGTGCTCCCATAACCAGGTGTACTTAACCTTTCTCATCGATAGCTTCACCAAGAGCCCCTTGAGTGAAGGTATCGATGTATTAGGAGGAGTGAGTTCGAAGCTCCTTGCCCGAAGTGCTCCTCGAGGCGTCGAGCCGCGAACTGAAAATTGAGAATCGTGCAACGAGAGATATAGAAAGACAAAACAAAATTAATAAAAGTATTAAAAAATTTTAAAAAAACATTTAAAACACTAAAAAACAAAAAAAAATTAAAAAAGAGATGAAACTCTGCTATTGCCTTTTTAAGCCCGTATTAAAAAAGAGGAGGGTGTTCCCAAATTCGTAACTTTTTATGTCCGCCATATGGATTTATGGATTCACTATTTTGAATTTTTAAAAACTGATTTCAGGTTCGTAATCAGCGACCCTAAAAACCCCCGAGTAACAAGTTTTAATCGAATTCAACACTTTTTGAAAATTTTATTCATCCTATGTTAAATTTTGAAAAAAAATTTATTTTCAGGCGCCATTTTGAATTAAAAAAAAACAAAAAATCTTAAAACGCGAAGCATGTTTTCAAACAAGAATTATCGGAAACACGTTTTGAATACCTTAGGTGACCTGTAAAAATCAATATTACAACTATAATTACATTCGAAAAAAATGACTTTCCAAAATTTTGTATTTATTAAGTATTTTTGAAAGAAATAATAGAAAAATGTCACTTTTTAGAAATTTTGACAATGCTATTTGAAAGATCGACCCCAGAAACATATGGATATGTGAATGCAGAATTTTTAATAATTTTTGCTTCCTCATGAGGAATCTTTGCATTCGTGACGATTTTTAATTTTTCAAAAGAAGGTTACATGGATTTATTTTCATCTAGAACATATATGTATATTCAATTCTGAGCAAATGTCCGGATGTATTTGTGTGTGTATGTCACAAAAAATTGGGTACAAATTATCTCAGACAAATTTTGATGGATTGTCCTGAAATTTTGCAGGTTTATTGCAGTCATTAATACCTTAAATCTTACACAAGGATTTTCGAAAATATCTAAAAAAAAAATTTTATACAACTTTTTTAAAATTCAGAAAATTTTTTTTTTGCATTTTTTGAAATAATTTTTTTATTTGTTAATATTTTCATTAATTATTCTCAAAATTACATTCTTGACAAGGAAATGAATCGATTGATGTATACAAAGTATATATTTTATCAAAATTTATAAAATTAATAAATATTTTTCTTTTTCACTAAAAATTCAATTTTTGTATTTTTTTTATAATTTATTTAATATTAATATTATAATTCACGAATTTCTATTTATATATTGAGGAAACTAAATGGTCATAAAATGAACAACTTGTTTTCTTCTAATATTAAGAGCTTGAAATAGAAGCTAAATATCAGCACATTTGGTCGTTAAAGGGTTAACCATGAATTTATTTCTCTTTCCAAAACAAAATGCATAAGAATGTATTACTTTACCTAATTTGCATAACTACTCATTTCTTATTAAGGACTAAATTTAAATGCTGCAAACAAAAATGTTCCAGACAGAATTTTACCAAAATTAATATATTCAGCAAAAAACTACTATGAGATGATTGTCCGTTTAGGACACTTTACGACATTAAAAAGTCGTCAGAAATCATTTTCAATAAATAAATTTACCCTCTATAGTTAGCTATCTAAAAGGTTTATTTTTTGCATTAGGGAAAAAATAGTTTATTAAGCAACAAGGGGACAAGGCAGCTATTTGTTTACGGTGATTTTTGTGACACGAGTGGAGTTCGAGAGATCCCCGAGACCGAAACGAGTGTCACAAAAATCATCGTAGACAAATTAGTATAAACTTTTTCCCTACGGTATGCCATCTATATATTTTTAAATGCTTTTGAAAAAAAGATGGATAAAATTGGAAGTATAAAAATAAAACTTACCTCTGGATTTTTGGCCATTTGCTCGAGATGATCGTCGGTGGAATACCAGCCCATGAAAATAGGAATGAAACTGATAAGTGCTGGCAATAGCCATGTCATTCCAAGCATGAAAACAGCTGTTCTATGCGTCATTATGACACCGTATTCCAGTGGACTGACAATTGCAATATAACGATCGACACTGATGCAGCAGAGATGAAGAATTGATGCTGTTGAAAAATAGACATCCAAAGAACACCAGATATCGCACATAAATCTTCCAAATAGCCATCTACCACCCGAGAGCTCAACTGAAGCATTGAAGGTCATTGCGCAAACAGCCACCAAAAGATCAGCAGCCGCAAGACTCACCACATAACAATTTGTCAAAACTTTTAGCCGTCGATGACGTTGCACACTTGCAATAACTAGCGCATTACCCAGTATTGCTGCCGTTATAATGCTTCCCATTATAATACCCTTCACAACAATAACGAATAAATTCACATTCTCGGGTAGGTTGTCGACCGTTGGATTTTCAGGTGGCACTGATGTTACGTTATTCGGTGCACCAGATGTATTTTCATTTCCTGGCGTTGGTAGAGAGTCTAATCGAATCGGTAAAGTCGTTGTCACCACTGCCATGACATTCAACATTTTCCGATTTTATCCAGGATTTTTTGGAAGTTGTGAGCTTTTTGTAATCATGTCATTAAAATCTTTTAATTTGCCTGTCGTCGACTTTCTTTTCATAATCAATCGAATAACTATTTGTGAACCAGATAAAAAATTTGGATTTTCTCCTTCCGAAATTTGACTATTTTTAATCGTGACATTGTGATAATAAAATTTTCTCTTGACCACTTTGAAAGAAAGTGCAATTAATGAAAAGGTCTTATTAAATGTTCCATAATCCGTGTTCTAGAACAAATAAGAAAATAGGTTTCTTAAAAATGTTATACTTCAGATTTTATTAGCTAAATTATTTTTTTAAGCAGAATTAAAAATAAATTTTGAAATTATAGTTTGATTTTATTTATCTATTCGAAATTCTGACTTCACTTTATCAACATTACTTAAGAAACGGGACGCATGATTATTCCCCAAATGTCATTTTTCCGAAATGTCATTTTACCGAACTGCACTTTTGCGAATAGTCATTTTTGCGAAAAGCCTTTTTTGCGAAATGTCATTTTTACGAATAGTCATTTTTGCGAAAAGCTATTTTTGCGAAAAGTAATTTTTGCGAAAAATCATTTTTACGAATTTTCATTTTTGCGAATTGTCATTTTTGCGAATCGACATTTTACGAATTGTCACTTTTGCGAATTGACATTTTTACGAATTGTCACTTTTGCGAATCGACATTTTTACGAAATGTCATTTTTGCGAAAAGTAATTTTTACGAATTGTCGTTTTTGCTAATTGTCATTTTTGCGAAAAGCTATTTTTGCGAATTGTCATTTTTGCGAAATTTCATTTTTGAGAAATGTCATTTATGCGAATTGTCACTTTTGCGAATCGCCATTTTTACGAATTGTCACTTTTCCGAAAAGTCTTTTTTGCGAATTGTTATTTTTGCGAAAAATACAATAGTAAACTTGTAGGTATATATAGATTCACTATTGTATTTTTCGCAAAAATGACAATTTGCAAAAAAGACTTTTCGGAAAAGTGACAATTCGTAAAAATGGCGATTCGCAAAAGTGACAATTCGTAAAAATGGCGATTCGTAAAAATGTCAATTCGCAAAAGTGACAATTCGTAAAAATGTCGATTCGCAAAAATGACTATTCGTAAAAATGGCTTTTCGCAAAAATGCCATTTCGTAAAAATGTCGATTCGCAAAAGTGACAATTCGTAAAAATGGCGATTCGTAAAAATGTCAATTCGCAAAAGTGACAATTCGTAAAAATGTCGATTCGCAAAAATGACAATTCGCAAAAATGAAAATTCGTAAAAATGATTTTTCGCAAAAATTACTATTCGCAAAAATGGCTTTACGCAAAAATGACTATTCGTAAAAATGGATTTTCGCAAAAATGACTATTCGCAAAAATGCAGTTTGGTAAAATGACATTTCGTAAAAATGACATTTGGGGAATAATCATGCGTCCCTTAAGAAACATTAAGTAAGAAAACTAAAATTAAACCCATTAACCCAGATAACACGTAAGCTTGAGGCAAGCTTTCCTTGCAATGTTGTCAAGCTTACAGCGCAAGATTTCCGCAAGCTTGTGTGAGATAGCAAAATGTTTACTGTATTGCAAGCTTTCCATGAAAGATTGTTGTAATCTTTCTGTGATAGGTTCCTGCAATCTTGCCATGAAATATTGCTACTAGATTGTAAGAAAAGATTGCTCCAAGCTTACTACGCAAGGTTTGTGCAAGCTTGCCATGAAACATTTCTACATGCTTATAATAAATGTTGCTGCAAGTGTGTTGCAAGGTTGTTAGAAGCTTGAATAATTTTTTTAAAAATGAGTTTCAAATTAATAAAAAAAATGTTTCTATTTTTTTAATTTTCTTTCTGACGTTCACTTAACATTGATAAGAAATTTTTGGAAATATATTCGAAGGTGCTGGGAATTAAACCCGAGTTCGACGGACGCTAACAAAGACTCTAACCGATAAGCTAAAACAACCAACTAACAAACAAACAAAATCTTGCCTTTAACTTGTAAATCATTTTATTATTATTATTATTATTATTATTTTGATTTTAAATTCCTTGTATTTTGACGTTGTGTTTATTTTGACATTAAATTCCTTCTATACCTAAATATGGAAGAAGCTCTAATAAATTTAGGAACTAAATTAATAAATAATGGTTACTTATATCAACGCTCAAGAGTTGCCAAAGGTAAAGCGTACTGGGATTGTATTCGACTTCGCAAAGGAGAGTGCAAATCTCGTGCAATAACTGTAGATTGTCTACCAGGGGAAAATGTCGTTATTCTGAAGGTTTCAGCGCATTCATTACATGTGCCAGACAGAGAGTTATGTGAAGCAGAATTTGCAAAAATGAGGTTAATAAATTTATTTATTTTTATTAATATTTGTTATGTTTAATTACTTTTATATTCAAATATTTATTTATTTTTATTTATTTGTTTTATTTATTAGTATTTATTTTATTTATTAATTACTTTTATATTCAAATATTTATTTATTTTTATTTATTTATTTTTATTTATTTGTACTTCAGATTGAAGAGAAAAGCGGAAGAAAATCCGGAGCAACCGCCGGCACAAATATTGCGAGTAGAATTACCAAAATTGCCAGCAGGAGTTCTTAGTCACCTTCCAGAACGGGAAAATTTGAAAAAAGCCATGAGGCGACAGCGGCAAAGAAATCTTCCACCAAATCCTAGATCATTACCTGATTTGCACGATATTCCTGAACGGTATAAAAATACATTGGTTGGTGAAACATTCCTCATTTACGACTCGCTTGAATTTGATGAAAACAACGAATCAAGAATTCTGGTCTTTAGCACTAGGAGAAATTTAGAGCTTTTATCAAGAAGTTCGATTTGGTATTTGGATGGTACATTTAAAGTCGCACCGAATATTTTCACCCAAATTTTCACGATTCTTGGATTAATCAAACAAAATGTTATTAATGCGGACGAAGATGTCCGATTGAACCAAGTTGCGTTACCTTTAGTTTACGCCCTACTGTCATCAAAGGAATCACATCAATATACCGCCGTACTTAATGCTGTTCAATCTATGGCTGAGCATTATCGCATAGAAAATTGTCATCCCCAAAAATTTGTAACAGATTTTGAAAAAGCCATACACATTTCTTGTACTGAAATTTACCCTGAAGCCGAAATCTCGTGTTGTTTTTTTCACTTAGGACAATCTATATATCGTCGTGTACAAGCCGAAGGCTTACAAGAATCGTATAACAATCCACAAAATCGAGACATAAACATTTATACGCACATGATGCTGTCCCTGGCATTTGTCCCTCAGGATGACGTAAGGGATGCATTTCAATTACTCCTAAATCAATCACCAAACGAACTTCTTCCGATATTGAACTATTTTTCCGAAAATTACATCTCCGGATGGCCAGCTCGAGGACGAAGAAGAGCCGTGTTACCTCGATATGCCATTCGTATTTGGAATCAGTACGAAGCAGTCATACAAGGAACCAGCAAAACAAATAATGTCAGCGAAGGCTGACACAATCGTTTCGCTGTCGTTGTTGCTAAGCATCATCCTGATTTATATTCGCTTTTAACTGAAATACAAAAGGAACAAGCCGACACGGAAGTGGCTATTGCCGAGCTAAGTCTTGGAAGAACAGTAAAAGCTGCCCCTAAAAAAAATGGTTACTGGTGCAAAGACGAATCCAGGGAATCTGCTCAAATTATCCTGAATATAAAGCAGAGCACAGAGTTGTTGAATATTTACGCAATTTATCGCACAACGTCATTTTATAATTTTTTTATTCAATTTTTATATTTTTTACTAACTTTTATATGTAACATTTATATTTTCTTATATTTTGCATTTAATAAAAAATTGGATTCCTATTTTCGGGAACATAGTCATTCGGGAAAAAGTATTCGGGAAATTCGCATTCGGGTAATTGACCGGGAACGATGCGTGAGAGCTACTTCACATGCAAGCATTATGCTTCTGTTAGCGATGAGTGTAGTGTGAAAACCTGTCATCATTTTTATTCTTTATGTCGGCGAAGTCTCTTAAATTAAAGAAACATTCATTTCTTCTTTATTTGTGTTGGTTTTCTTTAATATTTTTTCATTTGTAGCGATTTTTTCAAGGGTGCCCACAACCGGTTACAAAAATTTCTATTTCGCTAAATTTCTAATAAAACAATTTCTTATTTGAAAGAATCAATTTAATTCCTTCACTGAGAGTCTCCTAAGACATCTAGCTTTAAATTCGTACACATATGGCGGATTTCACGTCAAATGTCTAACCGAAATAAAAATGTTGCTTAATTAATCCCCAATTTTTTATGAGTTGTCCTATACGTTAGTAATTTATTTGCCAAATATTTTTGAATTTTATCAAAAATTATCAGAAAGAGAGGGGGTAAAAGTTTTGATGCGACACGCACTACTTCATTTATTAATGAAACAATGAAAAATAGTTTTTGAAAATGGTTTCTTTAGATTTTTTCATCAGATTTCGATTGCCGCAGTCCATTTTAAAAAAATTTTTAATTTTGACAAAATTTTTTAAAAATTAAAAATAAAAATCAAATTTTTTCATCTTTGAGCCGGCACTGAAGCACTGGTAGTCGAGACATAGTCCCACTCGTAGAGGGGACTCTGGTTTCATCTTCCCACTTCCTTCTTATATCACCGTTTCCGCTCCTCCAAGTTACCGCTCGCGCTCCTCTCCTGTAGCACGGCTTCCAATTCCCTCTCCGCCTGCCGACTTTCACTCTCCTCCAGGCTCATGGCTTCTTCGCCAGACTCTTTCCTCTCTCGTTCTCTCTCCTTTTTCCGCTCTTGCCGTGGATCTACCTTTGGCACTTTGGGGATTGCTCCGGTAGATCTTTGCTGTGGTGTCTACGATTGCTCACCCGAAGTACTGGCTTGCACTTCTTCTCGTTGCACCAACGGTGTCTGCGCCTGAGCTTTTTGATGAAAGCTTGCCTCCTATTGAGCCTTCACTCTCTCCACTATGGCATCTAAATGATCTCTCCTGGGGGATCAGCCTGTTCCGGAAGATCCAAAATTAAGCCCTGGTAGCGTGAGTGTGAGTTTGCTTCTCGCCACCTACCTGCACCGGATCGCCTCATTTTCGATACCAACGACTTCTTAATCACGACACTCTTAATCGCAGCTTCCTCTCTCTCTCAGTCGGTGATCGGGGGCGATGATTTGGTATCAATCGACTCTCTTTCACCAAATTCCACAACCTAGATTCTGT